TAATTCATGTCCCCGAATTTTTGTCCTACAGTACGAAAAAATTTACAACAATTTAGTTTTATAAGATAAAATTCTCCTGCACTTGTGGTTTATGAGTCCTTGTTGAGTTTTTACCCTATACATCAAGATTTTTGGAAAAAAAAGTGGTCCAGAACCCCCACTGTATTACTAGTGACTCGAACCGTAGGTATATTTTAGAAAATTTTTACCATATGTACTTGGAGACATTAGTTGGAGTACCTATAAGGATGTATACCTACAACTTTTCTAGATCAAATGTATATAAAAAATCTATTTCGATAATTTTCAAAAGGTCAAAAATTTCATAAGAATATTGAAGAACTTGGTCTCTTCAAAGTGAAATTTTTCAAAATTCTAAAAAATGCGGAGAATTTTCGAAGAACTGTAGCTGAAAACAACTTCTAGTCGATATTTGCAAAAAATCTAAGTATGTAAAAGTACAAAAAACTGTGGGACATTCTGAGAAAACCTTGCGTTTGATGGTCCGGGGCCAAGATTTTCGAAATTTTTTTAACTCATTTTTTAATAAAAATTAACATATTTGTTTTGGCGATTTTGCAAAAATGGGGAGAATTTTCATTTTTTCGAAAATAACATTTGTATGACGAAATCTACAAAAAAAATGTTTGGGGAATTTTCGAAAGTGTTCCAAAAAAAGGTCAAAAAATCCTTAAGGGGAAATTCGAAAAATTGAGTTTTTGGACAAGTTGCCTAAAAATCTACAAAAAAATCTGGGATATTCTAGGAAAAACTGCGTTAGGTGGTGTCGGGTCAAGATTTTCGAACTATTTTCGTTTAAAGTGATTTTTGTTTAATCCTAAAAATTAACATGTTTTGTTTTGGCGATTTTGCAAAATTGGTAACTATTTGGAAGAAATGAAGCCGAAAATGACATTTGTATGACGAAATCTACAAAAAAAAAATGTTTGAAGAATTTTCGAAATTGTTCCAAAAAAAGGTCAAAAAATTCTTAAGGGGAAATTCGAAAAATTGAGTTTTTGGACAAGTTGCCTAAAAATCTACAAAAAAATCTGGGATATTCTAGGAAAAACTGCGTTTGGTGGTCTCGGGCCAAGATTTTCGAACTATTTTCTTTTAAAGTGACTTTTTTTTAATCCTAAAAATTAACATGTTTTGTTTTGGCGATTTTGCAAAATTGGTAACTATTTTGGAAGAAATGAAGCCGAAAATGACATTTGTATGACGAAATCTACCAAAAAAAAATGTTTGGGGAATTTTCGAAAGTGTTCCAAAAAAAGGTCAAAAAATTCTTAAGGGGAAATTCGAAAAATTGAGTTTTTGGAGAAGTTGCCTAAAAATCTACAAAAAAATCTGGGATATTCTAGGAAAAACTGCGTTAGGTGGTGTCGGGCCAAGATTTTCGAACTATTTTCTTTTAAAGTGACTTTTTTTTAATCCTAAAAATTAACATGTTTTGTTTGGGCGATTTTGCAAAATTGGTAACTATTTTGGAAGAAATGAAGCCGAAAATGACATTTGTATGACGAAATCTACAAAAAAAAAGTTTGGGGAATTTTCGAAAGTGTTCCAAAAAAAGGTCAAAAAATTCTTAAGGGGAAATTCGAAAAATTGAGTTTTTGGACAGGTTGCCTAAAAATCTACAAAAAAATCTGGGATATTCTAGGAAAAACTGCGTTTGGTGGTCTCGGGCCAAGATTTTCGAGCTAGTTTCTTTTAAAGTGACTTTTTTTTAATCCTAAAAATTAACATGATTTGTTTTGGCGATTTTGCAAAAATGGGGAGAATTTTCGAAAAATGAAGCCGAAAATAACACTTGTGTGATGAAATCTACAAAACAAATATTTGGGGAATTTTCGAAAGTGTTCAAAAAAAGGTCAAAAAATTCTTAAGGGGAAATTCGAAAAATTAAGTTTTTGGACAAGTTGCCTAAAAATCCATAAAAAAATCTGGGATATTCTAGGAAAAACTGCGTTTGGTGGTCTCGGGCCAAGATTTTCGAACTATTTTCGTTTAAAGTGATTTCTTTTTAATCCTAAAAATTAACATGTTTTGTTTTGGCGATTTTGCAAAATTGATAATTATTTTGGAAGAAATGAAGCCGAAAATGACAATTGTATGACGAAATCTACAAAAAAAAGTGTTTGGGGAATTTTCGAAAGTGTTCCAAAAAAAGGTCAAAAAATTCTAAAGGGGAAATTCGAAAAATTGAGTTTTTGGACAAGTTGCATAAAAATCTACAAAAAAATCTGGGATATTCTAGGAAAAACTTCGTTTGGTGGTCTCGAGCCAAGATTTTCGAACTATTTTCTTTTCAAGTGACTCTTTTTTAATCCTAAAAATTAACATGTTTTGTTTTGGCGATTTTGCAAAATTGGTAACTATTTTGGAAGAAAGGAAGCCGAAAATGACATTTGTATGACGAAACCTACAAAAAAAAAATGTTTGGGGAATTTTCGAAAGTGTTCCAAAAGAAGGTCAAGAAATTCTTAAGGGGAAATTCGAAAAATTGAGTTTTCGGAGAAGTTACCTAAAAATCTACAAAAAAATCTGGGATATTCTAGGAAGAACTGCGTTTGGTGGTCTCGGGCCAAGATTTTCGAACTATTTTCTTTTAAAGTGACTTTTTTTTAATCCTAAAAATTAACATATTTTGTTTTGGCGATTTTGCAAAAATGGTAACTATTTTGGAAGAAATGAAGCCGAAAATGACATTTGTATGACGAAATCTACAAAAAAAAAGTATTTGTGGGATTTTCGAAAGTGTTCCAAAAAAGGTCAAAAAATTCTTAAGGGGAAATTCGAAAAATTCCGTTTTTGGAAAAGTTGCCTAAAAATCTACAAAAAAATCTGGGATATTCTAGGAAAAACTGCGTTTGGTGGTCTCGGGCCAAGATTTTCGAACTATTTTCGTTTAAAGTGATTTTTTTTAATCCTAAAAATTAACATGTTTTGTTTTGACGATTTTGCAAAATTGGTAACTATTTTGGAAGAAATGAAGCCGAAAATGACATTTGTATGACGAAATCTACAAAAAAAATGTTTGAGGAATTTTCGAAAGTGTTCCAAAAAAAGGTCAAAAAATTCTTAAGGGGAAATTCGAAAAAGTGAGTTTTCGGAGAAGTTGCCTAAAAATCTACAAAAAAATCTGGAATATTCTAGGAAAAACTGCGTTTGGTGGTGTCGGACCAAGATTTTCGAACTATTTTCGTTTAAAGTGATTTTTTTTAATCCTAAAAATTAACATGTTTTGTTTTGACGATTTTGCAAAATTGGTAACTATTTTGGAAGAAATGAAGCCGAAAATGACATTTGTATGACGAAATCTACAAAAAAAAAAATTGTTTGGAGGATTTTCGAAAGTGTTCCAAAAAAAGGTCAAAAAATTCTTAAGGGGAAATTCGAAAAATTGAGTTTTTGGAGAAGTTGCCTAAAAATCTACAAAAAAATCTGGGACATTCTAGGAAAAACTGCGTTTGGTGGTCTCGGGCCAAGATTTTCGAGCTAGTTTCTTTTAAAGTGACTTTTTTTTAATCCTAAAAATTAACATGATTTGTTTTGACGATTTTGCAAAATTGGTAACTATTTTGGAAGAAATGAAGCCGAAAATGACATTTGTATGACGAAATCTACAAAAAAAAAAATTGTTTGGAGGATTTTCGAAAGTGTTCCAAAAAAAGGTCAAAAAATTCTTAAGGGGAAATTCGAAAAATTGAGTTTTTGGAGAAGTTGCCTAAAAATCTACAAAAAAATCTGGAATATTCTAGGAAAAACTGCGTTTGGTGGTGTCGGACCAAGATTTTCGAACTATTTTCGTTTAAAGTGATTTTTTTTAATCCTAAAAATTAACATGTTTTGTTTTGACGATTTTGCAAAATTGGTAACTATTTTGGAAGAAATGAAGCCGAAAATGACATTTGTATGACGAAATCTACAAAAAAAATGTTTGAGGAATTTTCGAAAGTGTTCCAAAAAAAGGTCAAAAAATTCTTAAGGGGAAATTCGAAAAAGTGAGTTTTCGGAGAAGTTGCCTAAAAATCTACAAAAAAATCTGGAATATTCTAGGAAAAACTGCGTTTGGTGGTGTCGGACCAAGATTTTCGAACTATTTTCGTTTAAAGTGATTTTTTTTAATCCTAAAAATTAACATGTTTTGTTTTGACGATTTTGCAAAATTGGTAACTATTTTGGAAGAAATGAAGCCGAAAATGACATTTGTATGACGAAATCTACAAAAAAAAAAATTGTTTGGAGGATTTTCGAAAGTGTTCCAAAAAAAGGTCAAAAAATTCTTAAGGGGAAATTCGAAAAATTGAGTTTTTGGAGAAGTTGCCTAAAAATCTACAAAAAAATCTGGGACATTCTAGGAAAAACTGCGTTTGGTGGTGTCGGGCCAAGATTTTCGAACTATTTTCTTTTAAAGTGACTTTTTTTTAATCCTAAAAATTAACATGTTTTGTTTTGGCGATTTTGCAAAATTGGTAACTATTTTGGAAGAAATGAAGCCGAAAATGACATTTGTATGACGAAATCTACAAAAAAAAATTTGGGGAATTTTCGAAAGTGTTCCAAAAAAAGGTCAAAAAATTCTAAAGGGGAAATTCGAAAAATTAAGTTTTTGGACAAGTTGCCTAAAAATCTACAAAAAAATCTGGGATATTCTAGGAAAAACTGCGTTTGGTGGTCTCGGGCCAAGATTTTCGAACTATTTTCTTTTAAAGTGACTTTTTTTTATTCCTAAAAATTAACAAGTTTTGTTTTGGGGATTTTGCAAAATTGGTAATTATTTTGGAAGAAATGAAGCCAAAAATGGTATTTGTATGACGAAATCTACAAAAGAGAAGTTTGGGAAATTTTCGAAAGTGTTCCAAAAAAGATCAAAAAGTTGCCTAAAAAGATTTTCGAAATTTTCTCTTTCAAAGAATATTTCGTTTAAAGTACTTGGGGTTTTAGTGGTTCCAAAAATGATACACTGCACTGCACTTAACATTTTAATCCACTTGGTAAACAAATCATATTGAAAAAAAAGTCAAAATTTCCCAAAAATAAAACTCCCCAGATCTATTTCTCCAAAGTTTGCAAAGCTTCTTCGACGCTCAAATACGTCCCTTCTGCCTCTCGTTCCAATTTTCTAAACCGACAAACCGGACTTAGAAGATTTTCGTCCACTGGAGGATCAGCCGTGGTGACGTAACTGATCACCAGACCAAAAATAACCGTCATAATCGCCCCAAATAACGAATAAAAGAAGAACGATGTCTTGAAAATGACATGTGGTTCGACTGGAATCGCTTGACTTCTAGAAAACTCAAAAATATATTTTTTGGTAACAAATTTTGGTTTCTTACATCGAACTGACATTGCTCCAAAGTGCTTGGTTGTAACTGCAGCCACTAGTAGAAAGCGGTTTCGTAGGACTTTTAATCAGACCTTTCATCTGGTAGTATTTGGAAGGAACCGCTAGACACAGTATAGACACAAAACCACCGATAGTACCAAAGAAAGCACCCTTAAAAAAATGTGAGTTTCTAGACAGACAAAATACTGACTTACCTTGGAATTGGCACGTGGGACTACCATTCCGAGTGTAAATAACCCGAGTAAAGGTCCTTGCGCTATCCCAAAAACCAACGACATAATAGAAATTATTTCGCCTAGTCGTTCCACAACAAAAATCAAACAAGTACCCAAAATTCCCACCAGTACTACAATTATTTTTAAAATAAAGGTAGCCCGTGCTTCTGACTGCTCTTCTTTCAAGAACAAGCAAACAACTTCTTTGTAGATAACAGCAGCCAGCGCGTTCAGGTTTGACGACATGGTACTAAAATCAGGTACGATTTGAAAAGAGCACACAGGATGGAACGATTACCTCAAAGAAGCACTACATATTGCTGCTACAAGCAACCCAGAAACACCTGGAAGATTTGCCGTTAGTACCGTTAGACTGAAAGGTACTAGCTGCTCATGTTTTTGGATTTGTTTACTAGAAAGGGGATCACAGTCTTTGTATAGTGCGTAGGTTTCCAGACCGATGAGTACACAGAAAGTGTGGACGCAGCTGAAGCTAATTATGACATAAACGACTGTCCAAACAAAGTCGCTGTATTTCGGGAGTGCTAGAAATTTTTGGACGCCGGTTTGGTGAACGACTACGGTTGCAGTAAAAGTCGCTCCACAACCTAAACTGTAGGCCCAGAAGTTGTCCCTGGATGTAAAATCGAAGCCAAAACTAAAAACCAACGTTTTAAATTATTACTAGAGTTTAGTGGTCACCGGTACTTGAAAGTTTGTAGTCGCTCGCCAGTGTAAGCTGTGTTCCAAACTTGTATGAACCCTCCTGACTGGTTAAGACCAGTGATATAAATAACAGCAAGCGATGTCATTATTATGAAGAACTGAAGAAAATCGGTCCAGACTACAGTTTTGAGACCTCCTAGAGAAGTGTAGAAGATGCATATAGCACATAGTACCACTGCTGTACCCTGGACGTTAAAACCGCTCACTAAAACCTTGCACTATTAATCTTGTTTGATAATAATACAACTAAAATCTTCTACTAGTTGCGAAAGTTAAAGATGGAGCGTATATAAGAATCGGAAACATGAGAATGTCAGCCAGGATATAAAACACTAAGCCCAATATTTTTGTTTTTTGGTCAAACCGTTTTTCCAAATATTCGTAGGTACTGGTTAGTTGTAGTTTAAAGAAAACTGGAAGGTAAACGAAGACGGCTACGACACCCATCACCACAAATGCACAAACAAATAACCAAATACTCGTTCCGTATCTGTAAACATCTGCTGGTACTCCTACGAGAGCGGTACCCGAGAAATGGCTAAAACCGAACAGTAAGTACTAGGGTTTAATACAGATGTGACTACTCACCTCACAGCAACTGATACCGCAATTGGAATAACCCTCATTCTTTTTCCCCCTAGGAGATATTCTTTGACGGTCGATTGCCTATTTCCTAGACATCCGAAATAAAGCCCAATTAAAGTACTAACCGCTAGTGTTGTTATAAAAATTATGTAGTCGATGAGTTGTAGAGGAAATTCATTATAAGACATTTTAGTTAAATTAAAAATGAACGTGGCTTAAAATGAAGCGTTTGACGAATGTTTTTTATTTCGTAAAAGGTTGTATTAAGTATACGAGTAATTAAGTTGATAAGACTTACAGTTTATACCAACAATGTTTTTAAATAGGCGTTTTTAGGTTTTAATACTTTATTTATCAGTACGTTACTAAAAGTAGGTTTGCATAGAAACCGCTCGCTACTGAACTACTTTAAATTGACGATTTAGTTTTACAAACTTTGCAAAGCTTCGTCGACGCCCAAATCCGTGTTGTCTGTTCTTCGTTTTAATTTTTGACGCTGACAAATGGGGCTTAGGAGTTTGGTATCTACAAAATCAGCAGTGGTAGAATAACTGATCACCAGACCAAGGAGTACTGTCATGATCGCCCCAAATAGTGTATAAAAATAGAACGATGTCTTGAAAATTACATGTGGTTGATGTCTAGAAACTTGATTGTCTAGTACCGTCGAACTAACATTGACCCATAGCGACTGGTTGTAACCACACCCACTGGTCGACAGTGGTTTCGTCGCACTTCTTGTCAGACCTTTCATCTGGTAGTACTTAGACGGAATCGTTAGACACAATGTAGACACGAAACCACCAAGAGTTCCAAAGAAGGCACCTCTTGAATTGGCCCGTCTAACTAACATTCCAAGTGAAAATAACCCCAATAAAGGTCCTTGCACTATTCCAAAAACCAACGACATAATAGACAGTATTTCTCCTAGTCGTTCCACCAGAAAAGTTAAGCAAGTACCCAAAACCCCCACCAATACAACAATTATTTTTAAAATGAAAGTAGTCCGTGCTTCCGATTGCTCATTTTTGAAAAACAAGCATACAATTTCTTTGTAGATAACAGCAGCCAGAGCGTTCAGATTTGAAGACATTGTACTAAAATGAGGTAGAAGTTTGAGAGCGCATTGGGTGGAACTTACCTCAAAGAAGCACTACACATCGCTGCTATAAGCAAACCTGAAACACCTGGAAGATTGGAAGCTATTTCTTGTACGAAGAAAGGTAGTAGCTGATCGTGTTTTTGTATCTGTTTGCTGGAAAGGGGGTCACAGGTTTCGTATTTTGCGTAGGCTACTAGTCCAACGAGGACGCAGAAAGTTTGGACACAACATAGACTAAGTACTACGTATACCACGGACCAAACGAAGTCTGTGTGGTTTGGGAGTGCCAGAAATTTTTGGACACCAGTTTGGTGAATGACAGTGAGCGCGATAAAAGTTGCGCCACAACCTAAGCTGTATCCCCAAAAATTGTCTCTGGCGGTAAAGTCGAAACTGAAACTAGAAATCGGAGTACCATTTTTATGTGTAATGAAAATATAGAGCGGGTACTTAAAAACTTGTAGTCTTTCGCCGACGGACGCTGTTTGCCAGACTTGTACGAGTCCCCCAGACTGATTAAGCCCGATGGCGTAAATAGTACCAAGGGAAGCAACTATTATAAAAAAATGAAGAAAGTCGGTCCACACTACAGTCTTCAAACCACCTATAGAAGTGTAGAAGATACAAACAGCACAAAGTATCACCGATATCACTTGAACATTAATCCCACTTGCTAGAACATTGTCTTGCAAAATAGCAACAACAAGCAAACTTTTACCAGTTGCGAATGTTAGAGATGCGGAGTACACAAGAATCGGAAACGTCAGAACTTCAGCCAATACATAAAACACCAAACCCAACATTTTTGTTTTTTTGTCAAACCTTATCTCTAAATATTCGTAAGTACTGGTTAGTTGTAGTTTGACAAAAACTGGCAGATAGACAAAAACAGCTGCAGTACCCATCACCACAAACGCAGAAACGAACAACCAAATACTCGCTCCATATCTGTACACATCTGCTGGCATTCCTAGGAGCGAAGTACCAGAAAAGTGGCTAAAACATAGCAGTAGTACGGTCTAAAAGGGCTACTTGTAAACACGTACCCCACAGCAACTGAAACCGCAACTGGTATAATCCTCATTCTTTTTCCCCCTAGGAGGTACTCTGTAATAGTTGACTGTTTTTTGGCCACGCAGCCAAAATAAAATCCAATTAAAGTACTAATCGTTAACGTGATTATGAAAATTATGTAGTCGATAGGGGTTAGAAAAGATTGAACAGGCATTTTCCGATACCAAATAAGACTGTTTGGAGTATAGCTTGACTGTTGACTTAAAACTTGAATTGACTATAATGAGCTTTGACAAAGGGGTATTTGTTGTTTTATGCAAAGTGTGTGTTATTATGTAATATATTATGTGGCTTATCAATTTGAAGTTTTTAATGCATACGTTGTTTATCGGGTTAATTAGTACTAAATATAGGCCTTTAATAATAATAATAATGCTAGGCCCACCCACCCACCCCCTATTTTCTCTGGGTTTATGTCATCTGCCAAAATAAGTTTGACCTTTGCAAGTACTAGCCCCGCCCACCCGCCCCTTATTTTCTCAGAGGATATATCATTTGCCAAAATCAGTCTTATCTTACCAAGTACTAGCCCCGCCCACCCGCCCCCTATTTTGTCAGAGAATATGTCATTTGCCAAAATAAGTTTTATCTTAACAAATACTAGGCCCACCCACCCGCCCTTTATTTTCTCAGAGGGTAGTACTTGATAGTACTTGTTAAGATAAGTTTTACTTTGGCAAATGACATATCGTCTAAGAAAATAGGAGTAGGTATCATTAATTTTTCTGAGACACCCTGTATAAGTAAATTTAGAAAATATTAATTATGTATTAAAAATTAATCACAAGTATAGACTCATCATATTTTGCACATTTAAGATATATTCAGTGAATTTTTGAGCTGGCGTCATCAATTTTTTGAAGGGGATAAGTAAATACATTTTGATTAAAAATTTATCATGCTTGTAAACCATCTGCAAGAATTCGGAGCATTCGGTTTTGCAGAATTCCAATTAAATTGCAAAATGTTGTTTTATAATTTTGATTTTTTTTTCAATTCGGAGTCATAAACTGCATGTGTAGGACTATATTAAATTGATTTTTGAATTTTTATTGTGCAGTTTTTCGATTTTAATTTTTTCGATTTTCCTACATAAACAATAAATGTATTCAAAATGAAATTTTGAAAAATCGAAAAGTCGAAAGACGGAAAATCAAAATCGAAAACTTAAAAATGGAAAATCAAAAATTACTAAACTGTAAAATTGAAAGATTGGGGAATTGAAGAGAAAACGAAAAATGTAATATTGTAATATCGAAAAATCGAGAAATTGAAGAACTAAAAAAATATCTACAAATTAAAATAAAATTGGAGAGACGGAAAATTGAAAACTTCGGTATTTCAACTTTTATTTTTCAATTTTTCGATTTTTTAATTTTTCAAATTGTCGATTTTTTCCAACAAAAAGAAAAGATAAATTTCGATTTTAATATTTTTCAGTCGGAAATTGAAAAATCAAAATGGAAAAACTATAAAATTAAAAATGAAAAATTGTAAATCGAATATGTAAAGGAAAAAAAGAAACACTGTAATTTTTAACACTAGAAATCAAAATATTAAAACAGTAGAGAAATTCAAAAATCAAAAATTGAAAATCGAAAAATTGAAAAACGAGAAATAAATAGGTATCTAGAAATTAAAATTGGAAGAACTGAAAAATTATAAATCAAAAAATTGAAGAAATGGACATTAAAAAAGTCGAACAATAACAAAATCAAAATCGAAAAATCAAAAAATGAAAAATCCATAAATTAACAAAACAAGATACCAAAAACTAGAAATCGAAAAATAAAGATAAATTGAAGAATTAAAAATCGAAAAATTACAAAATTATAAGATTGAAAAATTAAAAATTGGAAAACCTAAAAAATATGAAGAAAAGAATCTTCATTTTCGAAAAAACACAAAATTGACATCGAAACATCCAAAAAACGAAAAATTTTTAAATTTGAAATTGAGAACTTTCCCTTTTTCAATTTTTATTTTGAAATTTTTCAATTTTTAATTTTTCTATTTCTCTGTTTTATTATTAATTTTTCAGTTTTCGGCAAAGACCAAATTTCTTCAACCCGAAATTTTGAAAAATAGAAAAGTCGAAAAATGCAAAGTCAGAACTTGAAAAACTGATAAATCGAAAACTTTTTGAATTGAAAAATCCACAGAAAAAAAATACGAGATACTGAAAAATCCAAAAATTGAAAAAACAGAAAATACAGATATTTAAAAATTGAAAAAATAAAAACTGAAAAACCGAAAATTGCAATTGAAGAAATAGAAAATTGAAAAGTACGAAAAATTAAATATCGGAAAATAGAGAAGTAGAAATATTAAATATCGGAATGGAAAAACTTGTAAAAACTTGTTAAATTTAAAAGGTGTTACAATTACATATTTCCGTAGTAACGAATTAAATTCCTAAATCTGATTGGATGCTTATTTTTTAACAACTCAATCATTAATTTTTCTGAGACACCCTGTATAAGCAAATTTAGAAAATATTAATTATGTATTAAAAATTAATCACAAGTATAGACTCATCATATTTTGCACATTTAAGATATATTCAGCAAATTTTTGAGCTGACGTCATCAATTTTAAAGGAGGGGTTAAGTAAATACATTTTGATTAAAAATTTATCGTGCTTGTAAACCATCTGCAAGAATTCGGAGCGTTCGGTTTTGCAGATTCCAATTAAATTGCAAAATGTTGTTTTATAATTTTGATTTTTTTTTCAAAAATCTGAACGTTTCGGGTAAAAACTCAATTCGGAGTCATACATTACATGTGTAGGACTATATTAAATTGATTTTTCAATTTTTATTTTGCAGTTTTTCGATTTTCCTACATAAAGAATAAATGTATTCAAAATGAACTTTTGAAAAATCGAAAAGTCGAAAGACGGAAAATCAAAATCGAAAACTTAAAAATGGAAAATCAAAAATTACTAAACTGTAAAATTGAAAGATTCGGAAATTGAAGAAAAAACGAAAAATGTAATTTTATAATATCGAAAAATCGAGAAATTGAAAAATTT